AAGAGTAAAGAAGGCGTGTCCAGCCCTTCGCCAGGTGGCTCCTGCCCGGCTGTCATACCAAGCAAACTTGGGGCCATACAGCTTCAACCTCCCCCACTGGGGTGACTATTACTTATCACCCAGTCAAAGTGTCCCTTTTCTTGAATGGTTTTCACCTCTTCATTAGCCTTTAAGAAACAAGTGTGTCTAGGACAGGGAGGTAAATAATACATTACCCCACAACAAAGTATTCTCTCAGCGTTTCAGAGTGATCCTCGTGGGGCTAAAGGACCAAGGCCTGGCTCTTCTCTCCATTGCCTTTTCCTCTCCCTGGTCTAGCCCAAGCCCACCCTACTCTAGGGTCATATTATCCAGCCACCCTTTTTCCTATTTTTCCCTCGTCTCTTTTCCATCCCCCTCAGTTGTAGTCTCTTGTATGCTATCTTGCATTTCTTTATGTACAGCAACCCTACTGAAGGTACACTGACCTCTGGCCTTTTATCCCAACACTGAAGCCAGCCTTTCTTCAGGTGCAGCTCAACCCAGAGCCTGGTAAAGTCAATAACATACTTTACAAACGTCTTTAAGTTCAGTGACACCTGTAGGAACAAAACATCTTCATCCCTCCCCTGCCTCTGGCCTATGAGGCATACAGGAGCAAGCATTTCCTGCATTCTCTTCAGAAGGAGCCAGGAAGGGGGCAGGGCAGGAGGGGAGATGGGAGCCATTTGCAGTCTTACTGCGTCAGTTCCACAGGCAAGAACAGCAGGATTTCTCCCCCTACTCCTCCTTGGCTCTCTCTGGAGCCCAGGAAGTAAGAAGCAGGGAACATCTACTCCCTGCTTTAACTGTTTCATACATGGGGCATTTGCCACATCTGCAGGGTGGTACCAGGTTGTCCTTGTGTATTTTCTCTCCTCCTCTTGAGGGCATCACACACAAGTGGGTTCCAAAAGTTCCATCCAGAGACCTGCTATCGGGGTCTTCCTCCTCTTCTTCCTCATGTCTCCCCTCTTTCCTTAAAAGCCCTGGGCTCCTACTCTCCCCTCTCTCCCTTCCTCTGCTTTCTCTCTCTTGTACACATGTGTGTACTTACACACAGAAATATATTTAAGTTGACAAAAAATTGCCACTAATAAGCTCTTTTTTTTTGTCCTTTCAGGATAGTCCATTCTTGTTCTGCTCATCTTTATTACAACCTCATTCAAAGGCAAAAGGTAAGGAAGAAAAATAGAACAAAACTGTGTGTGAGTCCAGTAAAACTTACAGTAGGTCTATCATTTATAGGTTCAGTTAATGAATATTTATTTCATAACACATGGTACCAGGAATTGTACAAGGTCATGAGAACACAAAGTGAATAATACCAACACTGTTTTGCCTCTGTGACACTTGTTGTCTAGTAGGAAAAATAGATGCTAAGTAAGTATAAGTACAATAAAGTGCAAATTGATAACATACAAAAGAAAATATAAATGATCGAGAGACAAAATAGGTGTGTTCCAATTTCCCTCTGGATCAGGGATTAGACACACACAGACACACACACACACACACACACACACACACACACACACACACACACACACACACACACCAGATGTCTGGTCTTTAAGCAGAAGACAATAAGATAAAGGAAGAAGTTACAAAGGTTGAAGGAGAATGGGTACAGAAGGTAAGAAAATCTGTAAAGTCACATCAAAAGGGAGAATTACTATTTGGGAAATAAAAGCTAATCATTTGATAAATTACATGAGGATAGGGAGAGATGCCCTGAGAAGCTGTCAGAGTTCAAGCAAGGAGCTGGCTTAGCAAAAACCATCAATTGAGGCAGGGGTTGTGTTCGACAAACAAATTTTTGATGTAGTATAGACTAGGGACTGGAGAAGGCTAAGACCATATGCAAACAGAGCAGGCAGAAGTATGATCTTGTAAGATGCTGGTGGCCTGTTTTAGAAGAATGGCAACAGTTTGAAGAGGGAAAAACCATTTTTTAAATTGATTCTTTGAGTTTTGAAACAGGGCCTCGCTGTGTAGCCCAAGCTAACTTTGAATGTACATGTCTCCTGTCTCTGTCACTCTCTCCTAAGTTCTAGGACTATAGGTGTATACCATTACACCTTGCTCTGGAAGTATATCTTCTAAAGTTACCATGATATGAAGTTGTTCTTCACAATGTGTTTCATGAGGAAAAGAAAGAACTGATTTGCTAATATACCATACTTTGATATTTTTAAGACAAATGTGCTCATTCAAATGCTTGGTCACATTGAAGATACCTTTGGAAGCACTCATAACAATTTTTTTGCAAGTGAATAACACAGAGAAGATATGTAAGGAACTGAGGCAGTGGCAGAAAAATTCATTTTGTGTTTAATTAGAATTAGTTACTTTAAAGTAAAGTAACAGACTTTCTCTTCATTGGTCTTGAAAGTGCTGGATATGAGGGTTGAGAAAGCATTATGGTTGATGCCCAGAACTCTTGATTTAGACAACCTTGCCTGTTATTCTGACACTTAATCTGGTTGAGAAAACTGGTAGAGAAGAAGGCTTGGTGAGAAAGAAAAAGAAAACTGCTCAGTTTAGGACATGTTGAGCTCGAGGAGTCTATAAGATACCCAAGTAGATCAAGTCTTTATTGAGCATCTAAGTGGTTCGTGCCTGGAGCTCAGAAGACAGACAGGTCAGAACTGAAGACAGGCCCTTCCCCGTTGAATCATGAGCTTATATGTGGTGATCGGCAGTAGCAAGCATTTCCTACCTATGAAAATGAGAAACAAAGAACCCTGAGAAACAAAATTATTTCATGGAGTGATAAAGCAAAAGCACCCAGACTGGTAGGAACGTGAAGAGTGTTGAATAGTCTGGTGTCATCTGTAGAGTTCAACGAAAACTGAGATGGCTGGGTGGGTTTACCTTCAGGGAGATAACGAGAGTCCAATCAGTAGAAGACCAGATCAAATCACAAAAGCTTGAGAATCAGGGGAAGTCAGTAGATAACAGACTCAACTCTTCAGAAGTTTGGCTTTGAATAAAGATGATAGGACGGCTGTTACACGGAGAGCTGGTTTGGAAGGGGTTGTTAAATCATACAACATGCTTGCTGGCAGAAGCGGTGGAGAAGGAGATGACATGAGTGAGAAGGGCCAGAAGATGCAGTCACTGGTGTCTGAAAATGCAAAGTAAACTGACCATCTACCACACAGATAGAGTTTAACTACACACCATGCAGAAGCGCTTCCACCGTGAAAGAGAACAAAACCGAATCATGATGACTCGACCCTGTTAACTTCCATACCACCAAAGGTATGTGTCCATTTGTGTGATAGTTCACTGTTGGGCATGCAGCTTGGAAAATGTGTATTGGGATGTGCCCATCTGAAATTTTCCCAGTGTTACTTATCTCTTTACTATTTCCAACAGCACATTCGGCTTCATGACTGAGATGATGATAAGAGATGAGACATAAGGGTTGGAGACAAGAAAGATGCTAGTGATCAGCCTCTGTCATGGATGTTCTGGTTACTTGGTCCTAAGTTTCCCTCCATGTAGGAATGGCCAGATGATTACTGCTGTTCACTTCACAGCCCAGTGTAGAGGGGAAAGGAGGAGACCGTGGGTCATGACATCCTCAATATAAACACAGGAGCCTGTGTTCTCAAGATCAAGGATGATAACTTGCAGGGGATCACCTAAAGGATAGAGCAGAGACGGTCCTATGGAAGAAGAATTGATTGGGCCATTCAAATAAAGGAAGACATGTTTCACCACTCATAAAACACACCAGGATACAAGTGAGATGCAAACACCTCAGACTCTGAGCCTCTGGAGAGAAGAATGCAGCGCACTGGTAAAAAACGATTTACATATAAAATTATGAAAAGAGACTCAATATCCTTATACTTCAGGGAAAGGCAAATCAAAACTACAATGAGATAGCATTTCACACCCAGTACCTGGATTTACAAAATGCTGAATGCCATTATGGAAAACACTATGGTAGTTTATCTAAAGAATTCAACATGGGGTTGCTGTGTGATCCACCCATTTGATTTCTAGGCATATAAACCCCAGCAGCACCCAAGAATTAAAAACAGGGACCTCTGTAGATATGCATACTCTCATTTTCATAGCAGCAACATTCACAAGAACCAGAAGATAGGAAAACCCATAAATACCCTTTGACAGACAGACTGACAAACAAAGAGAGGTGTGTGTACATTCCGTCTTAAAAAGAAAGGAGATGCTGTTACTTTTGCAGAACAGAAGAAACCTTGAAACTATTATACTAAATGAAACAAGACAAACACAATGGAACTGGCCTTGTATAATCCCACTTAGATAAACATACCTACGATAAATTCCTAGGCAGGAGGTAAAATAATGGCTATTGAGGACTAACGAGAAGGAATAGTGGAGAGGTACTTTTTCAGTGGGTAGGAATTCCGGTGTCTGAAGATGAAAAAAACTTTTGTAGATAAATAACAGTGATGCTTACATAATAGTCTGAATGTGTTTTATACTGAACATAGTTAAAATGATAAATTTTATGATATATACATTTTGAAATAAGGAAAATTAAAGGCTACAGGATAAGGAACTTTTCTTCCTGTAGTTTTCTACTCAGGATTTGGTTGCTAGTTGGGGAGAGAGTCCCCAGGAGGGTAAAGAAATAAGAATGACTTTGACATCACGATGGCTCTTTTCACATTAAGCATTGTGGAATCAGGCAAGTCTGGTGGCTTACTGCTTTCTATCTTCTGTTCAAGGCATAAGACAGATGGTCAAGATGTCAGTGACAGATGTCAATGTCCTCATCTCATGTCGTCAGTTGCTGAAATGTGAACACTGATTCATTGCTCCTTGAAGAGCATTCTTTATATACCCTCCCACAATTCACAATCATGGATGTCCAATTCTTGGAGAACCAGCTCTCTTCCCTCTTTCTGTCTCTCTTCTTCCCCACCCCTCCCTCTTCCCTTAGTCCACTTGGGGCTAGATCTAAAGAAACAGGATCCTTGTTAGAGATGGTAGATCTCTTCTCCGTCTCCCTCACCAAGGTCTAACCCAAGATTCAAATGTCCCAGGGTATTTCGACGGAGAATTTCCCAGCCACGGTGGCTACTGCTGCTTAGGGATGTAGTCCTGGACAGAGGAGGTGTTTGCAGGACCACAGAGCCTCTAGCTAAAGTTCTAGTCTCAGTCCCAGAAGGCTGTTTCTCAGAGAGCTGCTCTTGTGCCTCCTCCTTGTCTGAAGATTTGAAAGCTTCCACATAGCGAAGTACTCGATAAGGATTCTGTTCATGGTGGTGCTCAACCCTGGGAGAAAGAAGAAAAGACTCATGAGAGCTGGGGAAAGTGGGTCATAGAGAGAAACAGAGGTAAACGTGGAGGAAATGAGATATTATGAAATAAGAGGAGGGACCAGACCTGAAGCAAAAAGAGCACCTAGGATGGAGGCTTCAGAAAAGAATGGAGGGAAAGTTAGCCTGAGAGTGAGGTGAGAGCAGTAAGGAAGTCAGCTATGGAGAGTAATAGGATACAGGCTGTGCTATATGTGGCAACATGGTGGGGGGAAAGAGAGAGAGAGAGAGAGAGAGAGAGAGAGAGAGAGAGAGAGAGAGAGATCTGAGTGTTATGAAGTTTACAGTATCTAATTCAAGGAATACCAGTGAGGGGTGAGGAGAGCCAGGTCAGGGGATAGGGTTGTCTATGAAGGAAGAGGCTAGAATCAAGGCCAGAGTATATTGGAAATGAGGGTAAGGAAGTAACATGACTAAACACAGGTAAAAAACAAAAGGACAACACATATCCCCACCTGAGCATTTCCATGTCTATGTGCAAGGTTTCACACACCACTGCCCTGTAGTAAACACAGCTGGCTATTGTTTTCTAACCCCTCTGTCCCCACTGACACTTCCTGTCCTTCTCTCTCACAGCAACAGACTAGTGCAATAATACCATGACATTTCCTGGTTGCTAGACATCTCAGAGATTCTACCTGCAGGTTTCACATACATGCTGTCACTCACCGTAGGAACCAGTGGTCCCCCAGGCCATACTCGCAACCACAGATCCCAGATCGAGGCCACAGAAAACGAGGCATTTTCCTCTCCAGCATCACTGTGGTGGCCACAACCTAGAAGGAAATGAGGTAGCAAAGGATCTCAGAAGGATCCACAAGGGATAGAGAAACACCAAAGCCGCCAAAGAAGGAAACAAAAACCAACATAGTTAAGGAAGACCCTGCAGGCCAGTGGTAAGGGCCACCTTTCATCCACATCTAAGCTTGTCCCAGAGCCTTGCAATCCTGGTTATCTCATCAAGACAGGACAGAGGATACTTTTAAATAGAACAATGATTTCTCTATATCATTATTCATATTCACAGAAAGTGACTCATTCAAAACTAATGTGATTTCCTTCCCACCTCCCACAGGAAAACTGCAGACCAGTGCCATTGACTTAAATAGAATGATGAAGTAGACTCGTCGTGATGTCAGAAATGAGAAACACGGTGGCTCCAGTTCAGGGACTCCCTAACAATTTAAAAAGCCATATCCTAAGAAGTAAATGGCTTGATTAATGTCTGTGCACTTGGCAAGGAAGTTTCTAGCAGTATGTTGCATGTTCTGTCCTTTGTCCTGCCCTCATTAGCTTGATGAAACAGACATCAGGCTTATCAAAAGTGCCTGTGTCACAAAACTGGGAGTGATACATAATAAGTGGAGTGACAAAAGCAATGTAAATGATTTCACCAAGTGGGAGTGCTACTCCAAAGCCAACCACACAAAAATTCACACAACAAGATGAGAAGGGTTACCCTTGCATTTAAGGAGTTTAGCTCATTAATGTAACAAAAATCCAAGGGTTATAGTTCATTGTGAACTTAGATGTACTTAGCTGTACATCTGGCTGAAAAACTGACTCCATTTTACATGTCATTGACAGCGAGTAGAGTTTCTTCCAAAATAAGAAAAAGCCTCTTCTCCAACGTCACTGTTTCCTCCGTATCAGGAGCTGTTCTAGTGTCACAAGGACTTTGATTAGAGTGTGCAGTCCAGTTAGGTTGGCGGCAGGAGAATATTGATGCAAGGAGCTATCTAGCCTTAAAATAGCCAGCTCTCTGTGACACGTCTTTCTTTTCTCCCTCATTGTCTTCCCTTCTCTTGGTCCTTTAGTCGTACCAGGTCTCTCCCGTCTTCCTTCCAAGCATGTTCTCTTTTGGATAGCTATTCTTTCCTCCGAAATGCGCACTCAAGGTTCTTCTTAGTTTAGCTTCCCTTGACCCTTTTGCTCTGGCAACCTAGCCTGTCTTTTTCATCTGGATTATGATCTAGCCACTCTCAGCAAATTGGTCAGAGTAGATGAGCTTGCACAGCTAATTGCTTCTTTCTAACAGACTGGAGAAGAGGGGACCTCACCTTTTTACTGCCACAATGCCTCCACTATCCAGCACTTGACCTTGTCTTAAGTTCAAAAATAAGCCTTTCACCTGAACTTTGTTATAAGCCCATGGAACTTAGAATGAATTGCCTGGGCTCAGGCATGCTTCTGATTTTAGTTTTTGAGATGTTGAGAATTCATCCTCCAGCTTGGATGTGCTGGGTGTGATAGTTTGAATGTAATCGGCTCCTATAAGCTCATTATTATGAGGTCTGGCCTTGTTGGAGCAGATGTGGTCTTGTTGGAGGAAGTGTGTCACTGTGGGGGTGGGATTTTAGGTCTCCTTTGCTCAAGCTTCACTTAATGTGTCATTCAGATCACTCCCTGTTGCCTGCTGGTCAAGATGTAGGACTCAGCTCCTCCCTCAGCACCCTGTCTGGCTGTGTGATACCATGCGGTATCATGATACCACTGGACTAAACCTCTGAAAATGTAAGCCACCCCAATTAAATGCTTTTTCCTTTATAAGAGTTGCCATGGTCATGGTGTCTCCTCACAGAAATAGAAACCCTAAGACACTAGGCAAGCAAGCTACCATCCAGCTACATCTCTAGCCCAAAGACATTCTTTTAAAGCCTGCATTGTTGTACTATGTTGGAAGAGTCAGAGGATGCAACTTGAATGGATTGTGCAAAGAAGTGTACCCTTCCCCTCCAGATTCTTAGAAGCTGTCAGTGTCGGGTGATTTGTCTTAGAAAAGAAAGCCACGCTGAGTGGGTAGAACAGGAAACTGGTGGGATCTGTAAGGTAGAGACTGAATTCTAGACAGACATCCAAATCTAGTTTGATATTTTAACCTTCCCAGTTATGAGGATCAGCTCATCCACCTCATCTCTTTACAAAACAACTGTGTGGGTTGGTTTATTTCTCCTTGCGGTCATGCACCCTCAGTGATATAACCCCTGACTTTTACCCTTTCCACCATTCTCCTCAGCGAGCTAGTCCTACCCATCTTTAGCATCTGTCTTAAACATTTCTCCCTCCATAAAAGCATTTTCTAGCTTTCTACTTAAATTCCTCAGTTGCACCTTTTCTTAGCACGGCACACTTTTCTGTAGCAAATTTGACTTCTGTGAGTCTTCAGCCTCCTGTGAAATGATTTACTTAGCAGTGCCTGTCTTTCCTACAGTGTGGCTCTTCAGCTGGAGGACCTACCATGTCTTGATGGCTGTGTTTGTGTCCCAGCTCCTAGACATGTAACAGGCATTTGAGGACTATTGCTACATACACACTGTATAGTTATCTGAAATATAAACATTGGTTATATTCAAATATTTACATAGTATTTGTGTGGGAAGATATGTGTTCTCTGATGCTTAGGAGGAAAAAGTATCAAGCTACAGAGTAGGATTTTAGCAAATAGGTTTTAGTTCACTGCAATATGAACACTTCTAGTAATAAACTTTTCACAATATGGAAAACTCCTAGTCTCCGAAACCTTACTCAAATATACAAAATAATAAGGTCATAATTAGAGGAAAGAATATACTGAATGACTCACACCGATACATAATTATGCAGAGAAGCAGCTCAATTACTTAGCACTCTTTGGAATATAGCTCCTAACTCTAGTATTTGATTAGCTTATTGTGATACAGAGAAAAGATATAAAAGGGATTTGGGGATTTATAGAATCCAATAGAAGAGAAGGTCTAAATTGAAGAACCATATTATATAAAAACAAAATCTTCCTGTTCTCTGTGGATTCAAAGACTCCTGGCTCCATTTTTGCCTGCAATAAATAGCCCAACTCGATGCTTAGAACCTCCATTCTAACATTCTCCTGTCCCCTCCATCCCTCTACACATACTTCAGGTTTACATAAACTGTAACTAAAACGATAGCCTCTTGGGGCTGCTCTGGGACTCCACTAACAGTGAACACATCCCACTGTAATATTTCAATCCAGTTCCTGTCCCTTCGCAAGACCAACACTAATAGACTCACCTGTGCCCTCCAGAGCTCATCCCTCTCCTGGGCCACTCGCCAGTGAGTGTCACCCATCATGGCAATGAACAAGTTGAGCATGAGCAGTGTGGCGATGATAGCAAAAGCAAAATAGGTGAGGCTGTACATGAAGGGCAGGTCCACGCTGTAGTTGGCAGGGCCGTCGATGATGGTGAGGAAGAGCTCAAAGGTGCTGAACAGCGCTGTGGGGTAGTCGGAGAATTCCCCCAGACTTTCTGGGTCCTCTGTCTGGAAAATGATATAGAAAGCTGCTCCGCCCAGGAAGACAGAAGTGGGGAATGAAATTGTCACCATAAGTATGGGCTTGGTTACCATTAGTTCTTCTTCTGATCTGTATAGCTCCATTATTTACACGCAAATACATACCACTATGCATCCACAATAGGCTTACCTCAGAAGTGGCTAAACCTAAGAATACTGACTAAACTAAATGGTAATGATAACACTCAGCCATTCACCAGAAAGAATTATATGCATATGTACATGCATAATTAGTTGCCTAACAGATTATTACATTTTGGAAAACCAAGCATTTGAAAGATAAGTTTTTAAAAGAGTGCATTGGATCTCCAATGATTTCAAACAACAGAGCACATGATAAGAGAAGAGAACTTTTTAGTCTTCAAGACTTCCAGATAACCACCCATTGCTCTGAGACTTGCTAGGCGAGCTTTGATCGTCATGGAAAAGCTGTCTCGCTGGTGTACAGCCTACCATACGGCAGGCTATTCCGGACCCTTACAACAGCAAGAGGCCCTTTAAAAGGCTTCTTACTGTGTGGGATACTCAACTGTGTGACAAGAGCACACATAAGAATCTGTATGAAATACTCACTTCCTCAAGCCAAATCACAGGTGCAGTGTGATCATTTAGGGGGTCAGAGGTACAGGGCATCTTTTGGGAGCAATTGCTGCTCTACTAATTGCAGTGCGTACTTGGGTAAGCAAATTTAGAGTAGGGAGAAGGAAGGAGACTTACATGAGGCCTCACAGGATAGATGCTCCATACAGATGGCCAGTTTGACCCTTTCACACTTAAGGTCTTAATATAATTTTTTTTTTTACCTGTAATTTTGTGGGGAACCTCATTGAATAGAGAAATTTCTAGAGACAGTGATAAGGTTCTGTAGTGATGGAGGCAGGGTTCTTCAGAAATCATTTTCCTTGTGTGCCCTCTTCTCTAATGGGTGACCAGTTACACACACGGAAGGCGGAGTTAGAATGGCAAACTTTTCATGACTCAGACCTGGGTTGTCTTGCTATGTATCTGAACTCTCTTGTGCCCGCCAGTGTTCCCTCTGTTCATTTGCTGGCTTTTCCTTCCTGTGCTGGACTCTCCGTTCCTGTTGGTCCCCATCCTCTCAGTGTCTCATCACAGTTCTTCTCTGACTACATTCTCTGCCATGTCTCAGGCTCCCCAAACTCCCATTATATACCCCCTTTTTTACAGTCTTTTCCAATTTTCATACTTTGAATGACTACATATAGAAAGAGGGCACTTTGTATTTTATTGCATGCCTTTATTTCTTCTGAACTGTAAATATAGCAGAGTTCAACATGGCATTTTCCCTGTTTACCTAGATAGTATTTAAAGTATCTACAGCTGTTAAATGTCTCTCCTCCAACATTCCTTTAAGGGGCTTGTGCCACAGTTAGCCGACATGAATCTTGATGGTTCAGGATCATGAGTCTACCTTCCAGGCCAACCTGGGTGGTCCCTTTCTATGGACAAAGGTGTGTTTTTAAACTAACTTTCCAATAGGAAATGACAACAATGAAATCAAGTTAAAGTGAGAACCAAGAAGAGAGCCATATGTCTGAAGATCTGCATATAACAGTCTAGAAGCAGTGCCATTACCTGAGGCAAATCCCATGATGACCATAGCCATAAGCCAGCAGAAGCGTAGTAAGTCTCCAAAAATCATCTACAGGAAACAAAGAAGAGGAAGGAAGATGGGGTGACTCTTTGTCCACCATCTCTGAGCAGCTTTTGCTAACAGATCTGAATGTCTCTGTGATGCCTCCAGCTAGGCTCTGAGTAGCATTTCTCTTTGCAGCATTCCCCACCCTTCCATCTATGAAGGCCCTGTATCCCAATAAGCAGGGGGGTTGGGAAGGCACTGACCTTCTGAATCATGATTGTAAAGGGGCCCAGCATCTGGAATCCTCGGGCGAAGTACATGACACTACACCAGCCCAGCACCAGTGCCATGGATATGGGCACAGCCTCCCCATTCACATTGGTAAGCCTCATCACCATGGTCACCAGCACAAGGGAAGCATAGGTGATGCTGGATGGAGAACAGAAAGCAAAAAGTGAGATGTGAGCTGGGAATATTCTGGATCTACTATAGCGTGAAGGTGACTTGGCTAATTCTTAACAGCTAAAAACCTAAACCCAAAGACGTGAATCCACTGGGCCGAAATCCCAGGGATGTCACCTGATATCTAGGCCTCAGCAAGTGAACTGGAGACCTGGGAGATTCTAGTAAGTGAAATCAGGGCTTGAAAAAAGAAAAGGACACTCACATGATGACATGGAATGGTCCTCCAAGAACTGTCTGTCCAAAGTATCGAGAGGCACCAACTCTGAAGATGTCCGGGATCTAGGGAAAAGATGATGAAGCAAAAAAGAAAATATAGGCTGCAATTCAAATGGGACCTGGGTGGATGGCTTTACCCTCGTCCCCCTGCCGCTCACCTCCAGAAGTAGAATAACCACAGCTCCAGTGACTGTCACCAGCTCCCCCACCAGCCGGGTATGATCCTGGTAAGTTACATATGCTTCCTATGGAAGGAAATCAGGACATAAATAGTTCTTAATGTGAGAGTTGTAACCTTTGGTGCCTACGATCTAAAGCTGTAAAGATATGTCTGAGACAAGGAAGAGCTGATTGATATTACTATCTCTGTCAGTCACCCCATTGTAACTCCTACTCTGGCTAATTCTGTGACCAGGGTATGCGTTTGCATGTCCAAGTTTTTCTTATAATGTTATATGTGAATGACTTGATCTACTCTGTGGCAATGTTTCTTCTCCTATATATGTTGTGAGTAATAATTTCCATATGTATTGGCCAGCTGAGACAACATTTCAAAGCACCAAAATGACCAAATGAAATACTGGGCACGGTGGTACCTACCTACAATTTCAGTGTTCAAGGGACTGAGACAGAACAACATGAATGCAAGGCCAGCTTGGGCTACACAATGAAACCCTGTATAATGAAGTAGAAAAATAAAACAAACAAAACAACAAAGCATGCCAAGTGAGTAAGAGAGCTTAGGAGATGGTGATGATAGTTTCTGCCATGGAAAGAATCCAACTACTTCAATCTCACTGTGGCTTGCACTCACATTGAAGACATCATATGCGTATCTCAGAATTCAGTGGCCACTATTGACCCCAATCTTACTATCTCTAATGAGACCTTGAAGCACTGAAGATGTTTGACAGTAAAGTTGCTCATCTGGAAGATGGAAACTCCAATGCTTAACTCCTGTCGATAGTGTAAAGGTGGCAGGTGGTGCCTTTGGAGTGTTAAAATAAGAGTAATACAGAATAGGATAGAAATTGCCCTAGATATGGATTTTAGTTTTCTGGAAAGGCCCTGATTATCCTGAGAAGCAAAGATGTTTCTGCAGTCAAGGTGGGATGAAGGCCATCCTACTTCAACATCATGCAGATCTGAGGATGAAATTCTTCGTTCATGTCACTTACCTACTGAGAAGTCATGACCTCACTTGAGAAAGTTTTTGGAGTGCTTTTTGGAAAAAAAAGATTTATGTACAGATGATTTCAACATGGAATTATGTATCTAAGTGCAGCAAATTAAAGCAGCTTTGGGGCTGCTCCAGAGTTCATTGTTTGCTGGTTATTTGTTCTGTTTGCTTATTTTATCCTCAGCACTTGCAACTATATGAACTCACCTTCTTCTCCACTGAAACTCAGTTCACAGACTGTCCTTTTACTATTGATCACACCTATCTTACTACAAACTATCCAATTCACTTTTAGACTGTAGGTAAGTGGAAAAATAAGTAGTAAACACATTAACTAACTTTAAATATAGAAATTAGACAAGTGAATCTGTTCTTGCCCAAAATTGTCAAATTTCTTTTTAAAACTCTGTATCTCAGCATATGGGTCGAGACCAGTGGTCCTCAACCTTCCTAATGCTGTGTCCCTAATACAGTTCCTCACGCTGTGGTGACCCACAACCATAAAATTATTTCATTGCTACTTTATAACTGTAATTTTGCTAGTTCTATGACTTGTAATGTACATATCTGACACGCAGGACAGTGTTATGTAAACCATGTGAAAGCGTCATTTGATCCTCCAAAGGGTCAGGACCCACAGTTTGAGAATTGCTGGTCTAGTCAATGCCAAGAACCTTTCTTTGTTTCAGTTAAGGACAGACATTGAGTCAAGTATGGTATTAAAAGCTTATAATCCCAGTAACCAAGAGGTGGAGGCAGAAGGATTGTGACTTCAAGATCAAATCCGAGAGGTGGATTCAGGAGAGTTGGGACTTCAAGCCCACTGTTTGACTTTGTGACAAATTTGAATCCAGCGTGAACAACCTGAGACATTGTTTTGAAAGAAGGGAGGTTGTGAGCACTATCCTGAAGACAGAAGATGGCATACAGCTGTGAAGATCAGAGTGTCCCTAGAGGCCAGGGAAGCAATGACACCATCTATTCCTTTACATGGAGGCATCCCCCTGCAAAGGAATTCAGCAGTCAGATAGGCATCCAGAAGCTGCGAGCTTCTGCTTGAGCTTCAGGCATGATATAGCTGCCCTTTCTCCAAGAGCTCCCTCTCTTAAATCAGGCTGCAGAGTATGGGGTTTTCTGTGAGCCCACATCTTTCTGTTCTTCAAGACCAGTTAAATAAATAAATAAGTAAATAAATAGGAAGAAAGAAAGAAAGGTTTTGTTGTTGTTGTCTTTAAAAAACTATTTTCCATGGTGTGTGTGTGTGTGTGTGTCTGTGTGTGTTTTGGGCACTTAAAGCATTGGCCTTTGACTGCAGTGTTTCATACTGACGAACTTCCCTTTGTGTATAAGGGTTATTTTTACAGCATTGGGAGAATGGCAGTGCTCTGAAGATGCAGAAAGAGACCTTGATTTCCGTGATACAGTCTCTGACGGCTCAGGGAGTGACAGCCCCTCTTAACCAACTATTCTAAACTTCCTTAGAATTAAGCCCAAACAATAATGAATGTGCCTTTTTAAGTTTTAGAATTCTATTCTTTAGGGGTTGTACTCAAGATGTTTGCTTAAATTAAACATCTAATTCCTAGTTCTTTAGACTCGTGGTTCTTAAGAAAAGGTTTGGGCATCAAGGTTGTGTTTGGTAAACTGTCTTGAAGTTATCATGGTCACTCAGTCTCAACTCCTGTTTGTTCAGCCTCCCGTTACTTCAACCCTTCCTTTTCTTTCTTTTCATGGGACCTAACACCTTCAGGCAAACACACTGCTGTCTATCATCTTTTTTACCCCACATCCCAGTATTCCACTCTTCTCCAAATTCCAAGACTGATCTTTGGGAAATGTGGACATTGTCACATGACCTCTGTTTCATACCTTTTCTAGCTGTCCAGTGCCTTCAGAATAAAAACACAGGTGGTATGAGATAGTGTTCCCTAAATACTTACCAGAATAGAGAGAGACTAGATCATGTCTAGACAGGACTAACAAACAGTTAAAACAGGGGATCCTCTGAGAAAGGGTAAAACCTGGTGGATACCCATGGAATGGGGAAGAGTGTCAGGCCAGGAAGTAACGGCTATTTTGTTTGATTGGATTCTTTTTGTTTATTTGCTTTTGTTTTCTGAGACAAGGCCTTACCATGGTAGCCGTTGGCTGGCCTGGAACACATTGTATAGACCAGGTTAGTCTCAAATTCATGGTGGTCTTTCTGCCTCTACTTCCTGAATGTTAGAATTCTAGGTGTCTGGCAACACACCCAGCACTGTCATTTGATTTTCAAAATCATGTGTATGTGTTCTTTCAATTAAATGTGTTCATTGTGAGAGATTAACTGAAGTGATTCACCAAACTCACAACTCTATCCTTTGTCTTGTGCTCTTATGCTGTGTGTGCCATGGCGTCCTGTTAACCGGGTCTTAAAACAGGATGTGCTCCTTCCTTCCTTAAGAAACCACCAACACCACATCTGTCCATCTGTCTACTTTACTCTTCCTTATGCTTCAGGATTCAGGCCAGGCCAACATTTGTCTGGGTTCTCCTTTCATGCCCTTCTGCAGCTAGTTCAGATGTGTGCCCTGTGGGGTGCCGCTCTGGTTACAGACCTCAGCTAGAGCACTGATGTGTCTCTTAGAGTGCTCTGAGGACATCAGCATCTTACTCCTGTTTTTTATCCACTGTTTACAACATTGTGAGAAAGTATTCATTAGCAAGAAAGCCAAGAAGGAAGGGTGGCTGTGGAAAGAGCAGAGAACCGGCCTTCCCAGGAGGCTGCAGATTGAAGAAAGACGGTTAGTGGGGTTGGAGACACCTGTTGGGAAGCAAACCAACTGAAAAGATGGCACCTGGCTGGGTTCTCCTGAGACTACCAGAGTCACTACTCAAGGTCACCTGAAACCTAAAAGATACTCTATTCCACTCCTCTAGAAATAAGTATTTCCTACAAATAGCCAGAATTTTCTGCATTTCCACATGGCCTAGAATTTTAGGAGCTGTTAACAATCTGGTATTTTAGGAGTTATGATAACCTGGGATTTAGTTGTTGTCAATAACCAGATCCCCAGTCACTCACACAGCATTGACAAACTATCCGGATGAGCTGACTCTCCTGAATGAAATGCTCAGGAGAGGGCATAGCAGAGCACTGGGTATCAGCAAGCTGACAGGGCCGCGCGTGCACCACGTGGAGAAAGGTGAGCAGTACTGACATCCCAAAGCACGGGAAGAAGCTGAAAGTTCCAGTTCAAGCTTCAGATTTTCTCCCCAGAAATCGGACCTACAAAGGGTCCCACTGGCAGTTAACAGAGGATTTCTCTGATTTTCTAAATTGAACAGAGCTTCCGAAACAGGACTGGCAAGTGTTTACCAGGACACAAAGGCAAGGACAGCTTCTGTCAACTCACTGTTTTTCTTTAAGAAGATCTCCAGGTAAGGACTGCTGGCCTCAGGAGAGTAGGATCCTCTTTCCAGGAAATGTTACCCCTCTGTGATTATGACCCAGTCTCTCTGTGTTTTCTCAGGAAAATCGATTGGGAAATTTTCTTTTTCTTCCAAGAAGTCAATAAGTAACAGTGACCACTCTTTTGTGAGTTGTTACTGTAAGGTTTTGCGCCCCCCCCCACTACTTTTGTTTTACTTTGTTCTGGTATGCATAGCTTTGCCATTTGATACAGGATGTCACTCTACAGCTCAGGCTGACCCAAAACTCACAATCGTGGCCCACACTAGGAAGTGCTGGCCAACATCTTTGCTCTTTGCCCTTTGACAATTGCTCAGAACCTCTGGTCATCTTCATTCATCCTTAGCGCTGGAATTCAACTATGTAGAACTCTGGAATTCACTGACAAATTTAAATTGGAAAAAAAGAAAGCATGCATGTCAAAAGAACTACAGGGTTAGCCCCGGAAGATTAAGATACATTCCAGTATTTTGATCAGATAATAAGGGGGGCGGGCACTCTGGATGATGAAGACTCCATGTAGCACAAAAAATTCTACCCAACACATAGTCTTCTTGCCCTGCATCCCACATATTTTCATAAAATCCTGTAGTGTACCTGAGCACCTCCACAGA